CTTATGTTATGATAAATAGCATTTTATAAAAACATAACTATTTTTCAAAACAAGAGAAATGGGGGAAAGAGTGGTATTGTTTTTATGTTTTTTGCAAATCTCTTTAATGTCTAACTTTTTAGAAGACACATAGATTCTCCTACCTGGTCTACGGCCTTACCACCCTGAACACGCCCGATCTTGTCTCATTCAGTTTATGGTGATACACTTTTCCAGTCGAGGTGTATGAAGAAAATCCAGCCTCGTATCAACACACAGGATCTACTTTGACACCACACCAAAATTCAACAACTGGTCACTTCCTAAAGGTTATCTGCAATGTGGAATCTAAATACCTATCAATTTTTCATACCATTACATTAAAATCCTTACATACTGAATAAACCTTTTATCCATATATTATGCATGTTACATCATGCATTTTGTCACTAGGAAAATACTGGTTCACTGAGATATGCAGGTCTTGCAAATAGTAACACTTTCCACTACACAGTATCAAAAATATCATTAATATCACCACTGATCCCATAAGAAAAATTTTAAATATTGGGAAACTCTCACTAGAATTTACAATTATAAATTCACTTAGAATTTAAAATTTTATCACTGGCCACAAACACTGTCACAAGTAGCTGGATCATTCGGTTTCTGAGAAAATGTGTACCAATACCCAGGTCTGAATAGTTATAGTTTATCTATCAGTAGGGTTTTCAAGGAAAAGTGGTTTCCCATGAAAAAAATCAGCTACTTCAGGTCACAAATTCAAACAATTACTCAAATGCATTTGTATACTTCCTATTTCATCACACAGAATATTAAAGTCATTACTAAAAAGTCAAGATTTACATAAAATTAATAAAGTTTACTTCACCAAAGAGAATCTTAAGTGGCACTGACTTTTTAAAAAACCTTTTGAGTGTGTGGCAGTAAAGAAACACTACCAGGACATTGGTGCCACTGCCTTAATTCATGCTAAATGGACAAATACTGCTTTTGCACCAAGAGGCTAATGGTCTCCTGTTCAATATTCAGACTTTCACCTAAGTTGACTGTTTTTATTCCAGCATATCATTCCCAGCTGGCACTTGTAAGTCATATCCCCTCTGCTTCAATTTCTCCGTAGAAGACACATTCCAGAAAATTTTACCTGCCTGCATGGGTGGAATAAAGGAACTCTAGGTTGGGCCATGCTGTGTTCGTATCTTTAAAATCTGTCCTCATTTCTCCCTCATATTTCATGGTGCTGGTATTTCCAATTCATCTACTTTTCTAGCCAACTCATATAATGAAAGGTCAGGGTACACATGAATTTTCTGGGGTCAAGGTCAGAACTGATACTCCATGTCTGACAACCTGTTGGCCAGCTTAAGAGCCACTGAAGGGTCATTATGTGCATATGGCCTGTGCTCACACATAACCTTCCTCTGCTTTTTATGACTCCGGGTCTGAGGTGGATGCTGTGGCACATCACTGAGATCCCTCATTAGGAAGGAAGAATCGTTATCCCGGCTGCTGGGAGTGCTGCTGGCAGGGAACACTCAGCTGTCAGCCCTGTTTGGTGATTGCCTCAGCTGCAGAGAGCCAGTTCACACAAGATACACTGCCTTCAGACAGTGAGAGCAACCAACAAATGCCCAATCAAGAAAAAGCAACATTCAAATAGTAGGAGAATTTGTAGCCTTCTTACCCACACTCATCCCACTTTCTCCCAGGTGTGGCATGGCTGAAAGGAAGTAACCCAATTCCCAGTCTCTCCCTCAGGCTAGAAGGACTAGTCTGTGGGATACCCAAGGAACTAATTTCTGTCTCAGCTGACTCAGCTCTAGTGGGGAACAACAGCACAGCTCAGATCTCAGATTGCCAGAAGTCACTGAAAAGAAGTGGAAGGCACAACAGTACATGAAACCTGCAGGGGAAATCACTGACCCATGCAGACCTGAGGCAAGAATTATAGGCAAAGGAATATAACAGAACATGAAAGGCCCTGAGAAGCAGGTGTTCAGAGAAGTTAACACATTTAACAGCAGCCATAAATTCTGGGGAAACTGGGGCAGGGGAAATGCACACATATGGCCCAAGTAAGATGATATCCAGGAAAAACCTAAGATGCTAGCTTCCTCCCAAATAGATCCCAAGGCTGAGGACATACCTGGCCAATTACTGACGGTATTACACGCTTGTTTGCAAAGACAGGGGAGGTAGCTGTTTTCTCATGTTCCAATTTTCAACAAAAGAGCATAAAGCAGACACAGAAACAAGAAAAAGGGTCTATTTGAAGGAACAAAATAAATTTCCAGAAACCATCCTTGAATAAATACAAGCAGCAGACTTGCCATACAACATCTTTTTTCAAACATGTACTTCTGCTTTATTGACTATGCTAAAGCCTTTGACTTTGGCTACACACCTTTAAAACAATTTAAATATGCAAGAAAGCTAAAGGAAAACTTGGACAAAGAACTAAAGGAAATCAGGAAAATAACGTATGAGCAAAGCAAGAATATCAACAAAGAGAGATGGTGTAGAAAGGAGCCAAAAAAAATTCTGGAGATGACAATAAAATATCTGAATTGGAAAATTCACTGAAGGGATTCAATAGCAACCAAAGCAGCAGCATCAGTAAACTTGAAGACAGGTCATTTCAAATTACTGAGTCTGAGAATCAAGAAGAAAAAAAATGAAGGAAAGTGAATAGAATCCAAGGGATTTATAGATTATGCCATCTATAAATATATGAATATACCACCTAGAAATGCCATCAAAAGGAAAAATATGTATGAGTCCCAGAAGATGAGAGAGAAAAAAGGAAAGAAAGATTATTTGAAGAAATGATGCCTGAATACTTCTCAAATTTGAGGAAAGACAAAGATCTCTGAATTCAAGTTCAGCCAATTCCAAGCAGGATAAATCTAAAGAGACCCAAATCAAGATGTATAGTGAAAAAAACAAACAAAAAAGAGAATCTTGGGAAAAAAAAAAGAGAACCTTGAAGGCAGCAAAAGACAAGCTACTCCTCATATGTAAGGGATCCCAGAAGGCAATGAAATTATACATTTAAAGAGATGGAAAAAAAGCCTATCAACTGAGAATTTAATATCTGGCAAAATTCTTCTTCAAGAATAAAGGAGAAATTAAGACATTTCCAGATAAAAAGCTGAGGGAGTTCATTACAACTAGATCTGCCCTGTAAGAAATGTTCAAAGTGCTTCAAGTTGAAATGGAGACTTGAAATTGTCAAATTCCTAGAATTAAACACAGGGGAAAATATCTCTGACATCAGTCTTTGCAATGATTTTCTTTTTGATATGATACCAAAAGCACAAGTAATGAAAGCAAAAATCAACAAGTGGGACTACATACATCAAACTAGAAAGCTTATGCAAAAGAGACAATAACAAAATGAAAAGGTAACCTTCAGGATGGGGGAAAAAAAATAAAAACAATTTTGCCAACCATCTATCTCATACCAGGTTATTGTTCAGTTGCTAAGTCATGTCTGACACTTTTTGAACCCATGAATTGCAGCATGTCAGACTTCCCTGTCCTTTGAGTTTGCTCAAACTCATGTCCATTGTCCCGATGATGCCATCCGACCATCTCATTCTCTGTCACCCCCTTCTCCTCCTGCCCTCAATCTTTCCCAGCATCAGGGTCTTTTCCAATGAGTTGGCTCTTAACACCAGGTGGCCAAAGTATTGAAGCTTCAGCTTCAGTCTTTCCAATGGAAGATTCAGGACTGATTTCCTTTAGGACTGGTTTGATCTCCTTGCAGTCAAAGGGACTCTCAAGAGTTGTCTCCAGCGTCACAGTTCAAAAGCATCAATTCTTTGACATTCAGCCTTTTTTATGGTCCAACTCTCACATCTATACAACTCCTGGAAAAACCATAGCTTTGACTATAAACACCCTTGTTGGCAAAGTAATGTCCCTGCTTTTTAATATGCTGTCTAGGTTTGTCATAGCTTTCCTGCCAAGGAGCAAGTGAGTTTTAATTTTGTGGCTGCAGTCACCATCCGCAGTGATTTTGGAGCCCAAGAAAATAAAATCTGTCACTGTTTCCACTATTTCCCCATCTATTTGCCATGAAGTGACGGGAGTAGATACCATGATCTTTGTTTTTTCAATGTTGAGTTTTAAGCCAGCTTTTTCACTCTCCTCTTTCACTTTCACCAAGAGGCTCTTTAGTTTTTCAGTTTCTGTCATTAGAGTGGTATCATCTGCATATGTGAGACTGTTGATATTTCTGCTGGCACTCTTTGATTCCAGCTTGTGGTTCATCCAGCCTGGCATTTAGCATGATTTACTCTGCATATAAGTTAAAGAACTGTGACAATATCCAGTCTTGACATACTCCCTTTCCAATTTTGAACCAGTCTGTCAAACTGAACCAGCAACAGTTCTAACTGCTGCTTCTTGTCCTACATACTGGTTTCTCAGGAGACAGAAAAACCTAGCATTCTGGTATTCCCATCTGTTTAAGAATTTTTCAGTTTGTTATAACCCATTAAGGGGTTAATATTCAAAATATATACAGAACTCCTTCAACTCAACAGCAAAAAGCAAATAATTCTACTTAAAAATGGACAGAGGACTCCAACAGACATTCTTCTAAAGAAGACATACAAATGGCCAACAAGCACACCAACAAATGCTCCACATCCCTAATCATCAGGAAAATTTAGATTAAAACCACAATGAGATATCTCACACCTGTTAGGATGGTTACTATCAAAGTTAAAAATTAAAATATCAAGAGATAACAAAATGCTGATGAGAATGTTAGGTTGAAAATTTAGCTACTAATTATGTACCCATGGTATCTTAGAAAATATGCTCTGTAATTATTTCATTCATCAAACGATCTCTATGAAGTAGACTATTATTATTCCTATCAAATAGTTAAGAGAGATGACAGACCATGCTAAGACTTAGCTTCAGTGACTACTTTTCTGAACCAAGAGTCTCTTCTGGAAGATCATGATGACTGTATATGATGTGCCCTAAAGCTGTGTGTGTGTGTGCCCCCTCAGCTGTGTGACCCCATGGACTGCAGCCTGCCAGTCTCCTCTGTCCATGGGATTTTTCAGGCAAGAATACAGGATTGGGTTGCCATGACCTCCTCCCAGGGATCTTCTCAACCCAGGGGTCAAACTAGCATCTCCAGCATTGACGTCAAGATTCTTTACCACTGAGCCACCTGGGAAGCCCCCCAAAGGTATATGTGTATTTAATTTAGGTGCGAGTTTGTGTGCTTTTACTTGAACTACTGACGAGTTATTCAGGATAGCTTTGGAGATATAACACATATAAGAAATTTTCTTCTTGTCTAGTTGCTGTGGCTAAGGCTTCCAATACTATGTTGGAAGAGAACTGCTGTGACCATTCAAAACCATAAAATGTTAACAGATTTTTTTTTTCAATTTCTTAATGTCAAAATGCTCCCATTTCTAACAGAAAACTGTAATTATTTTTATTTAAAGCAGTTTTAAGTCTATCAAACTCAGGATTCTTCCCTGATCCATTTTCAGAGGGTGATCTGTTTCCAAAGTGCTGACATCTCAGCACCAGCAAGTGGTTTCTGGTCCACATGTTGTCTTAACTTGGTCCTTGCACACTGCCACTTCTAAAATCTAGGTTTCTGAAATGTGGTCTTTGACATTATAGACTTTGCCCATAGCATGTCTGGAGAAGGCAATGGCACCCCACTCCAGTACTCTTGCCTGGAAAATCCCATGGATGTGGAGGAGCCTGGTAGGCTGCAGTCCATGGGGTCACTAAGAGTCAGACACAACTGAGCGACTTCACTTTCACTTTCATGCACTGGAGAAGGCAATGGCAACCCACTCCAGTGTTCTTGCCTGGAGAATCCCAGGGACAGAGGAGCCTGGTGGGCTGCTATCTATGGGGTCGCACAGAGTTGGACACGACTGAAGTAACTTAGCAGCAGCAGCAGCAGCATAACATGTCATGCTCCTGTTCAGGGTCCTAGCATGGTCTCCAGATACCAGAGATCCAGTCTCTGCCATCCTTACCCAGCCACAAAGCTCCTTCCCAGTTGATGGTCCGGTTGAAAGAGTGAACACCTTCACTCCTCTTTCAGACTGACACATACTTATGGGCTTTCCTTTGACTTCTCTGTAACAGCATGTTCACTCACTCACTGTGGGATAGTTCATTCTCACAGAACTAGAGGCATGGAGGTGGGCAAATGAGGACACTGGCTCAACAGGCTCAAAGAATTTTGGGTTGGCAATGACCTCCCTCCTTCCCCGTCGTCTCAAGGTGTCTAGAGCTCTGGTCATCACACAATCACATTCAAACTTAAGCAGCAGAGTCCAATACAAGGCAGTTTCTCCTCCAGAAAAATTCCTCTTATGAAACCCTCTCCCCCTTCACCACCACTCCTTACATCTGATTGGTCAGCTCTGGTCAAAGTCTACCCCTACACCAAGAAGTAGGGCACCTTTCCTGAGAAAGAATCCATACTTCAGTAACTTCTGAGGTTCTCCTGCAAGTCATTTGGGTAAGTCTTCCACAGCACCCCTCCAACCCTTACTGATGAGGTTATCAGGCTGTACAGTCTTCCTTACAGGTCTCCTAGTCACGCTGTGGGGAAAGGGAAATTGGCAACCTCCTGATCCTGGATCCCCACCCCAATCCACTTCCAGAATTCCACCACACCCATCCCAGAGCACTGAGCACAGAGACCATTTCTCCAGCACTCGCCGAAGTCTGACTGCAGCCCCATTCCCTCCTTATTGTCTAGTTGCTAAGTCATGTCCTACTCTGCAAACCCGTGGACTGCAGCACACCAGGCTTTCCTTGGTTCACGATATCCTGGAGTCTGTTCAAACGCATATTCATTGAGTTGGTGATACTATCCATCCATCTCATCCTATCACCATTCCCTCCTTACCTGCTGGTAAACCTCTTTGGGTGGAAAGTTTATTACCCATTTTCTTCTGCTGTTGCCATTATGCAACTCATTTATCAGTCCTCCAGGTTTAGCTTTGGACAAGTTTATGCAAAATTATAAAGTCATTTTAAGTACCTGCTTCCAGCATTAAATTTCCCACAGGCAATTTTGGCACTCAAAGCCAAATTTGTCCCGTGGTCATTACTGAGTTATGTACTTACCATGGTGCACTAACCTAAGCCTTTTAACCTAATTATAATGGTAGAAGAACTTCAAAGCCAACACAAAAACATGCATTATTAAAAGTACTGCTGGAGTCAGGATGTCAATAGTGGGCAAGTCTGTGGTGGCAATAAGGGGAATAGGGCATTATGTGAATTCTACTTCCTGCTCAATTTTGCTGTGAACATAAAGCTACTTTAAATAAGTTTAAGGAAGAAAAAACCAAAAACTTTTTATTAGTTCTAGTTTTGTACCAGGCCCAGTGGTACAAGTATATATAATGTAGGGTCCTTGCTGGTCCCTAACCAGCTCTCACCTGAAAGTCCCTTCTGACTGAACCTTTCCGTTTCTACTGAAACTTCTCTTCAAACCTGTAAGTCAGAGGTGGAACAGAACCCATTAGTCTGTCAAGTTTTTTTCTAATTACCTCTGCTGTACCTGCTCAGTCTGAAAATTGGCCTGTTAAGTCACTTTCCAGCCTTCCTTGCAACCAGAGTAGTGTATTGCAGCACCAACTGATGACTCACAAAGGAGTCACTACTTGGTGTCACTGGAACACTCTTCAAACAGGTTTGGTGGTTGAAATGTTCTTGCCCTTCCCCTTATGTCTTCCTGCCTGGAAGAGGGGTGATGGTGTTAATAAAAGTCATTGTGACAAAGAGGAGACCTTAAGAATGGAAACCATGTGTTAAGAGTTCAAACACATCTTTCCAGAAAAGCTAGAAAGAATCTAGGCAGCAATCATGAAGCTTCCATACTAGCACTGGGTAACCATCACACTTACTTGAAATGCAAATTTATCTAAGCTACTGATGGTAACAGCAGTTCAATTACTCCACCCGTAGATTTTCTTACAGAAAAAATATCCTAACACCAAAATAAAATTTTAAGTTATGAATCCCAAGAAATACAGCAAATTTTTATATGAATCCCAACAAGTTAATACACCTGCTTCCCTCAGGTGGGCCAATAGCCAAACTTTTTTTAGTTGATTTTCAGTATTGTGTCAGCTTCAGGTATACACCAGTGATTTATGTATTTTTTCATGGGTTGTAAGATAGTGACTATAATTCCCTGCATTATACAGTAAACCCTTATTGCATATGTATTTTATGTATAGTTTGTATATTAATCCCATACTCCCTAAAGTATCTCTTTGCCACCATCCCCCAACTTCCTCTCTGGAATAATCTGTAATTAAAATTTCTGAGTGATGTTGACTCATTTGTATTATCTTTTAGTTTTCACAGATATCAGTGGTATCCTATCTGACTTCACCTTAGCTCTCTATTCTAATGTTGCTGCACATGGCAACCTCAATTTTTAATGCTGAGTAATATTCCATTCTGTCTGCATACAAACACCTTAAATCATGTCCTTGCTATTGTAAACAGTGCTGCTTTGAACACTACAGGGCTTGTACCTTTTTCAATTAGTTTTTCCTCCCCCGGATGTATGTCCAGGAGTGGGACTGCTGGATCCATAAAGTGGCAGTTTAAGAACCTCCATACTGTTCTCCATAGAGGATGAAGCAATTAACATCATCACCACCAATGGAGGCTTCCCTTTTCTCCATAACTTCTCTACCATCTATTATTTGTAGACTTTTTGCTTATAGCCATTTTGACTTATGTGAGGGGATACCCAATTTTGGTTTTTAATTTCTCCATGTTGAACACTTTCCATGTGCCTTTTCAACCATCAAACTTTTCTGAAGGCACTACGTCCAATCCCCAGGAGCCCCCCCACCCCCAACCCCAGCTCACCTCCCACCAAGATCCCAACCACAGAAGGCAAAATAGGAAGCACACGAAAGAACAATCTGGAAAATCAAGTTTGATGGGATGGGGGAAAAATGAAGGTTGGCTGGTGTGGCCCAAACATTTTAATAATGAGATGGTTAAAGATCATTTAGAATACCTATAGCAAAACTAGGGAAATTGTGAAATATTAAAATCAATTTACAGAGGAAATTAAAGTCCCAATTGGTCAGAGGTGTGGAACATGCTTACACCTCCTGATCTTGCTTCCAACCTGTCATTCTCTTAAGAGTTGGAAAACAGGAATGGGAAACTTCACTGACCCTATAGTCTTTTAAACACTTCAAGTGTTCAAATCTCTTGAAAAAATTTTAAGCTGCTCCCCAGTATGGTAAGCGTTTGAACTAGGCTGGAGACATGAGGAGGGATAATGAGCAAGGCAGTGTCTACTTTAGAAGACTCACTAGGATGAGAATTATTTCAAGAAAGCAGAATGTCCTAAGCAGATGTAATTACTACAAAGACAAAAGCATTTCCAAAAATGAAAGAGTAGGGTACAGCAGATGACACCACCCTTATGGCAGAAAGTGAAGAGAAACTAAAAAGCCTCTTGACAAAAGTGAAAGAGAGTGAAAAAGTTGGCTTAAAGCTCAACATTCAGAAAACTAAGATCATGGCATCTGGTCCCATCACCTCATGGGAAATAGATGGGGAGACAGTGGAAACAGTGTCAAGACTTTTATTTTGGGGGGCTCCAAAATCACTGCAGATGGTGACTGCAGCCATGAAATTAAAAGGCGCTTACTCCTTGGAAGTAAAGTTATGACCAACCTGGATAGCATATTAAAAAGCAGAGACATCACTTTGCCAACAAAGGTCCATCTGGTTAAGGCTATGGTTTTTCCAGTGGTCATGTATGGATGTGAGAGTTGGACTGTGAAGCTGAGCGCCGAAAAATTGATGCTTTTGAACTGTGGTGTTGGAGAAGACTCTTGAGAGTGTCTTGGACTGCAAGGAGATCCAACCAGTCCATCTTAAAGGAGATCAGTCCTGGGTGTTCATTGGAAGGACTGATGCTGAAGCTGAAACTCCAGTACTTTGGCCACCTCATGTGTTGAGTTGACTCACTGGAAAAGACCCTGATGCTAGGAGGCATTGGGGGCAGGAGAAGGGGACGACAGAGGATGAGATGGCTGGATGGCATCACCGACTCAATGGACATGAGTTTGAGTGAACTCCGGGAATTGGTGATGGACAGGGAGGCCTGGTGTGCTGCGATTCATGGGGCTGCAAAGAGTCGGGACACGACTGAGCAACTGAACTGAACTGAACTGAGGGTACACCTGGAGTTAGCTTCACTAATACACACATGTGAACAGCAGAATCAGCAAATTACTGCAAAGAAAAA